TAAGAAAGCGCTTCTCGGGACCCGCTGCAAGCACAAGCAGCCTGCTCCGGAAATGCCTACCCGGGGGCCTTGCCGAGGAGCTGGTGCAGCCCTGCCTGCGGCGTTCCTATCTGGGACCCTCTGCGCTCTCGAAGGGGCTCTCGGGGGAGGGACAGTTTTACGATCTGCTCAGGTCGGGGCAGTTTAACGACCTGCCGAGATCGGAGCAGTCTTACGATCTACGCAGGTCGAAGAATTATACGACCTGATCAAGTCGGAGCAGAACAGGAGCAGGGCAGTTTACCGGCGCGACGCAGTCCCCAGCGCAACACGCTTCCCCCGACATCCAGCGTCGTGAGAAGTTCACGACGCCTCAAATGTCGTGAGTTTCTTGTTCGTCGTGAGTTTGTAAAATTTGCTGGGCGCGTCGTGAGCTTTGTTTTGATGTCGTGAGTTTTGCTTCTCGTGAGTTTTGGTCTTTAGCCGATTATGTTGCGCGCTCTCCCAAGTCTTCCAAGTCGTTGATGACAAGTGCCCAAGGCCCACGTACTCTGGCAATGTCCGAGCGTGGCAAATCCGACAATGGCAATCATTATGTTCCCGTGTAGGATGCATCGATGGTCCATGTTCCTCCGTAGACTGCATCGACGTTCGCACCTACGATCTTTGTCAATGCCCAGAGTACAAGCTAGTGGAACATCGGGCTTTCACAATTGAATGCTCGGAAGACCCACCCAAGGTGGGCCACGCGCGCGCACGCACGCGCAATACGATGATTCCCTGTTGAGCGGTGTGCTTTCGAGCTCCGAACTAGCATCCCTGATAATATTCGTCAGGCAGCTGTGCCAAACAGCTATAAGTTAATATGCAGCTCGAGTTACATCAAGAAAGGCATCATCATCTCTGTAAAATTAACAGAATACGAATAGTTTTTGGCAACTGTCGTAGCAGACCGAGCTCGGGCATCTAGATACTTGAGACCTCCTGATGATGTCCTGTCGATTGCTGTGCCAAACAGCTCTCTAGCTCATCTGCAGCTCGGGTTACATCAAGAAAACCATCATGATATCTCAAATAATTAGCAGAGTACGAATAGTTTGTTCGGACCCAGCTCAGGTAGCAGACCGAGCTCGGGCATCTAGATACCTGACACTAGCACTTCTGATGATTCCCTTTCGATCGTTGTGCCGAACAGCTCTGTAGCTCATCTGCAGCTCGCGTTAAGTTGAGAAAATCATCATCATCATCATCATCATCATCATCATCATCAGCCTCATCATCATCATCTCAAACAATGCAGAATACGAAAATAATATTCCGGCTCTCGGAGGAGACCGATTTCAGCCATCTAGATACTTAGGACTTGCACGTCTGACAAATACCTTCTGTTTGCTGTGCCAAACAGCTCTGTAGCTCATCTTAAGCTCGAGTTAAGCTAAGAAATCCGAGAACACCACAAAAAAAAGAGCACAAATAGGTTGATCGTCTAAGTTCTCGTAGCAGACCGATTTCAGCCATCTATAGACTTGAGACTAGCGCTGCTGATGATTCGCTTTCGATTGCTGTGCCGGACAGCTCTGTAGCTCATCTGCAGCTCGAGCTAAGTTGGGAAAACCAGCAGCACCTGCGAAGATGGCACTAAACAGCCGATCCCACCTGAGTGCTTTTAGAAAGTGATATGTACCCGATTGATCTGAGACTAAGACGGCAAGGGGGAATATGTTCGAACATGGAGGGAAATTACCCCGTGACGTACCCAACCCATTTGTATCATGGGAAACGACGAGTTGGCCGAAACTTGCATGGACAATCAGATTGCAGGATCCGTTGTTTGATATGTAAGCTACCTGGAGCACGCGCCTATGGCATGATGCGCAGGAGAACCATACAAGAACGAGGGGCGACAGCTACAGGCTCGAAGAGGACATGGGGAGTCGGGAACGAAGAGCAGGAGAAAGACGTGCGGGAAGCCCACTGTGCTGGGCCCCCCAGCAGGCCTCGAAAGTGGCGACAGTCTCACTGATCGCAGCCCCCCAGGGATGGCGAGGTCGAATTTGAATCCGCGGTGACTACCCACTGTGCTGGGCCCCCCAGCAGGCCTCGAAAGTGGCGACAGTTTCACAGATCGCAGCCCCCCAGGGATGGCGAGGTCTAATTGGAGGTCTGCGGTGAGTACCCACTGTGCTGGGCCCCCCAGCAGCCCTCGAAAGTGGCGACAGTTTCACAGATCGCAGCCCCCCAGGGATGGCGAGGTCTAATTTGAGTCCGCGGTGTGTACCCACTGTGCTGGGCCCCCCAGCAGGCCTCGAAAGTGGCGACAGTTTCACAGATCGCAGCCCCCCAGGGATGGCGAGGTCTAATTTGAGTCCGCGGTGTGTACCCACTCTGCTGGCCCCCCCAGCAGGCCTCGAAAGTGGCGACAGTTTCACAGATCGCAGCCCCCCAGGATGGCGAGGTTTAATTTCAGTCCGCGGTGTGTACCCACTGTGCTGGGCCCCCCCAGCAAGCCTCGAAAGTGGCGACAGTTTCACAGATCGCAGCCCCCCAGGGATGGCGAGGTCTAATTTTAATCCGCCGTGTGTACCCACTGTGCTGGGCCCCCCAGCAGGCCTCGAAAGTGGCGACAGTTTCACAGATCGCAGCCCCCCAAGGATGGCGAGGTAAAATTTCAGTCCGCGGTGGGTACCCACTGTGTTGAGCCCCCCAGCAGGCCTCGAAAGTAACGACAGTTTCACAGATCGCAGCCCCCCAGGGATGGCGAGTTCTAATTTGAGTCCGCTGTGTACCCACTGAGCTGAGCCCCCCAGCAGGCCTCGAAAGCAACTACAATTTCACAGATCGCAGCCCCCCAGGGATGGCGAGGTCTTATTTGAGTCCGCGGTGTGTACCCACTGTGCTGGGCCCCCCAGCAGGCCTCGACAGTAACGACAGTTTCACAGAACGCAGCCCCCCAGGGATGGCGAGGTCTAATTTGAGTCCGCGGTGTGTACCCACTGTGATGGGCCCTCCAGCAGGCCTCGACAGTAACGACAGTTTCACAGATCGCAGCCCCCAAGGGATGGCGAGGTCTAATTTGAGTTTGCGGTGTGTACCCACTATGCGGGACCCCCCAGGGCCCAGCAGGCCTCGAAAGTGGCGACAGTTACACATCGCAGCCCCCCAGGGATGGCGAGGTTCAATTTCAATCCGCCGTGTGTACCCACTGTGCTGGGCCCCCCAGCAAGGCCTCGAAAGTGGCGACAGTTTCACAGATCGCAGCCCCCCAGGGACGGCGAGGTACAATTTCCATCCGCCGTGTGTACCCACTGTGATGGGCCCCCCAGCAGGCCTCGAAAGTGGCGACAGTTTCACAGATCGCAGCCCCCCAGGGATGGCGAGGTACAATTTCAATCCGCCGTGTGTACCCACTGTGCTGGGCCCCCCAGCAGGCCTCGAAAGTGGCGACAGTTTCACAGATCGCAGCCCCCCAGGGATGGCGAGGTACAATTTCAATCCGCCGTGTGTACCCACTGTGATGGGCCCCCCAGCAGGCCTCGAAAGTGGCGACAGTTTCGCAGATCGCAGCCCCCCAGGGATGGCGAGGTACAATTTCAATCCGCCGTGTGTACCCCCCACTGTGCTGGGCCCCAGCAGGCCTCGAAAGTGGCGACAGTTTCACAGATCGCAGCCCCCCAGGGACGGCGAGGTACAATTTGAATCCGCCGTGTGTACCCACTGTGCTGGGCCCCCCAGCACGCCTCGAAAGTGGCGACAGCTTCACAGATCGCAGCCTCCCCCAGGGATGGCGAGGTACAATTTCAATCGGCCGTGACCCCCCAGCAGGCCTCGAAAGTGGCGACAGTTTCACAGATCGCAGCCCCCCAGGGATGGCGAGGTATAATTTCAATCAGCCGTCTGTACCCACTGTGCTGGGCCCCCCAGCAGGCCTCGAAAGTGGCGACGGTTTCACAGATCGCAGCCCCCCAGGGATGGCGAGGTACAATTTCAATCCGCCGTGTGTACCCACTGTGAGCCCCCCAACAGGCCTCGAAAGTGGCGACAGTTACACATCGCAGCCCCCCAGGGACGGCGAGGTACAATTTGAATCCGCCGTGTGTGCCCGCGGGGCGCCGGCGGTAAACCGTCAACCTTGGTTACCGCCGGGAGACTCGTAGAGCTTCCTAGCTCGACTTAAGTTGAGAAAACCGACAGCACCTACCAACATCCTGACTCATAGTGAATATTTTGTGACCTCTCAATGCGACAGGCGGACGCGTCTGATGTCTGCGAATCGACTTCTGTCATTACCAGCCCGAGTTAAGCAGAAAACCGACAGCACCTCTCAGGATGACTCGAAGAATACAATAGTTTCGCAGACCTAATTCGGGCAGCAGACCGAGTTCCGAGCACTGGATTCGACAGGCGGACGCGCCTGATGTCTGCAAATCGATTCATGTGACCACCAGCACTGTAGCCCCCCCCCCAGCGCGAGTTGAGTGAAGAAAACCGAGAGCACTTCTCAAGATGACTCGACCAATACGAATAGTTTCGCGATTCTAGATCGGGCAGCAGACCGAGTTCAGAGCTCTGGATTCGACAGACAAACGCAATTGATGATTCTGAATCGGTTTCTGTAAATATCAGCTCTGTAGCTGTCCTACAGCTCGAGTTAAGTACAGAAAACCGAGAGTTCCTGTCAAGATGACTCGAATAATACGAATAGGTTTGCGGACCTAGCTCGGCTAACAGACCGAGTTCAGACCTCTGGATTCAACAGGCGAACGCGCCTAATCAGTCTACATCGATTAGCTGTGCTTACCAGTTCTGTAGCTGTCAGAAAGCTCGAGTTATGTTCAGGAAACCGTCAGCGCCTATCAAGATGACTCGAAACGGTCGATCCCGCCACAGTGCTTTTCGATAGTAATATTCACCCGATCGAGCTGAGATCAAGATGGCGAGCGGGAATAAGATCGAATATCACGGGAAAAAATACTAGAGCTCAAACGAATTGTTGAATTTCGAGAACCAAATTTTCAACCGACCAAAAGTCACCAAAAGTTCCGTCGAGATTTTTCGAGCCAACTAGCCTGCCAGTGCGTCCGAATTACTCTTAAGCTTCCAGCTGCTAGCTTAGGGAAGCTCTACGAGTCACTGTGCTGGGCCCTCCAGCAGGCCTCGAAAGTGGCGACAGTTTCACAGATCGCAGCCCCCCAGGGATGGCGAGGTCCAATTTCAATCCGCCGTGTGTACCACTGTGCTGGGCCCCCCAGCAGGCCTAAAGTGGCGACAGTTTCACAGATCGCAGCCCCCCAGATGGCACGCAGCGACGAGCGAAGGCAGGGGGGAAGAGAGGGACGGGAGGGGGCGGGAAGAAAGGAAGAAAGAAAGGAGACGCGCGAACAGTGCTCTATTCAAAACGAGAACCCAACGCAGGAGGGTTGGAAACTGGGCGCCGGCGGTAAACCGTCAACCTTGGTTACCGCCGGGAGACTCGTAGAGCTTCCTAGCTCGACTTGAGTTGAGAAAACCGACAGCACCTACCAACATTCCGACTCATAGTGAATATTTTTTTACCTCTGAATGCGAAAGGCGGCCGCGTCTGATGTCTGCGAATCGACTCCTGTCATTACCAGCCCTGCAGCCCCCCTACAGCCCGAGTTAAGTGCAGAAAACCGACAGCACCTCTCAGGATGACCCGAACAATACAGTAGTTTCGCGGACCTGGTTCAAGCAGCAGACCGAGGTCCGAGCTCTGGATTCGACAGGCGGACGCGCCTGATGTCTTCAAATCGATTCCTGTGACCACCAGCACTGTAGCCCCCCTCAGCGCAAGTTGAGTGAAGAAAACCGAGAGCACTTCTCAAGATGACTCGACCAATACGAATAGTTTCGCGATTCTAGATCGGGCAGCAGACCGAGTTCAGAGCTCTGGATTCGACAGACAAACGCAACTGATGATTCTGAATCGGTTTCTGTAAATATCAGCTCTGTAGCTGTCCTACAGCTCGAGTTAAGTACAGAAAACCGAGAGTTCCTGTCAAGATGACTCGAATAATACGAATAGGTTTGCGGACCTAGCTCGGCTAACAGACCGAGTTCAGACCTCTGGATTCAACAGGCGAACGCGCCTAATCATTCTACATCGATTAGCTGTGCTTACCAGCTCTGTAGCTGTCCTAAAGCTCGATTTATGTTCAGAAAACCGTCAGCGCGTATCAAGATGACTCAAAACGGCCGATCCCGCCACAGTGCTTTTCGATAGTAATATTCACCCGATCGAGCTGAGATCAAGATGGCGAGCGGGAATAAGATCGAATATCACGGGAAAAAATACTAGAGCTCAAACGAATTGTTGAATTTCGAGAACATAATTTTCAACCGACCAAAAGTCACCAAACTGGGCGCCGGCGGTAAACCGTCAACCTTTGTTACCGCTGGGGGACTCGTAGAGCTTCCTGACAACATATAATGTCGAAAGAAATTACACAGAAAACCTAGTTTTTCAGCCCAAACAATTTCAGACCTCTCGGATGCAACAGCCGAACGCTCCCGATGCTTCTGGATTGTCTTCTGTACGAGCTCTGTAGCTCTCCTACACCCCGAGTTACGTGCGTAAATCGACAGCACCTCTCAAGATGACTCGAACAATACGAACAGTTTGGCAAACCTAGCTCGAGTATCAGACCGAGTTCAGACCTCTGCATGCGACAGGCGGACGCGTCTCATGTCTCTGAATCGATTCCTGTGATTACCAGCCATGCAACCCCCCCTACAGCCCGAGTTAAGTGCAGAAAAACCGACAGCACCTCTCAGGATGACTCGAACAATACGAATAGTATCGCGGAGCTAGTTCGGGCAGCAGACAGAGTTCGGAGCTTTGGATTCGAAAGGCAGACAGGCCTGATGTCTCCGAATCGATTCCAGTGATTACCAGCCATGCAGCCCCCCTACAGCCCGAGTTAAGTGCAGAGAACCGACAGCATCTCTCAAGATGACTCGAACAATACGACTAGTTTCGCGATTGTAGATCGGGCAGCAGACCGAGTTCAGAGCTCTGGATTGAATAAACAACGGCCACTGATGATTCTGAATTAGATTCTGTACGCATCAGCTCTGTAGCGTCCTGTAGCTCGAGTTAAGTATAGAAAACCGAGAGCGTCTGTCAAGATGACTCGAATAATACGAATAGGTTTGCGGACCTAGCTCGGCTAGCAGACCGAGTTCAGCCTCTGGTTTCAACAAGTGAACGCGCCTGATCATTCTGAATCGATTAGCTGTGCTTACCAGCTCTGTAGCTGTCTTGGAGCTCGAGTTATCTTAAGAAAAACGACAGCGCGTATCAAGATGACTGGAAACGGCCGATCCCGCCTGGACGCTTTTTGGCAGTAAAAGGTACCCGATCGAGCTGATATCAAGACGGCGAGCGGGAATAAGATCGAATATCACGGGAAAAAATGCTAGAGCTCAAACAGCACCTCTCAAGATGACTCGAATAATACAAATAGTTTGGCAAACCTAGCTCGAGTATCAGACCGAGTTCAGACCTCTGCATACGTGTCTGATGTCTCTCAATCGATTTCTGTGATTGCCAGCCCTGCAGCCCCCCTACAGCCCGAGCTAAGTGGAGGAAACCCACAGCACCTCTCAAGATGACTCGAACAACACGAATAGGTTCGCGGACCTAGTGCGGGCAGCAGACAGAGTTCGGAGCTCTGTATTCGACAGACAACCACTGATGATTCTGAATCAGATTCTGTATCTCAGCTCTGTAGCTGTCCTGTAGCTCGAGTTAAGTACAGAAAACCGAGAATAATACGAATAGGTTTGCGGACCTAGCTCGGCTAGCAGACCGAGTTCAGACCTCTGGGTTCAACAGGCTCTGAATCGATCAGCTGTGCTTACCAGCTCTGTAGCTGTCCTGAAGCTCGAGTTATCTTGAGAAAACCGACAGCGCGCAACAAGATGCATCGAAACAGCCGATCCCGCCAGTGTGCTTTTTGGCAGTAAAAGGTACCCGATCGAGCTGAGATCAAGATGCCGAGCGGGAATAAGATCGAACATCACGGGAAAAAATACTAGAGCTCAAACGAATTGATGAATTTCGAGAACAAAATTTTCAACCGACCAAAAGTCAGCAAAAGGTCCGCCGAGACTGGGCGCCGGCGGTAAACCGTCAACCTTCCTTACCGCCGCCGGGGGACTCGTAGAGCTTCCTGAGCACATATATTATCGGAAAAATCTGCAGAGAACGAATAGTTTTTCAGCCTAATCAAAAAAAAACTAGAGCTCAAACGAATGGTTGAATTTTAAGAACAAAATTTTCAACCGACCACTTGGAAGCGCCCAAAACTCGGAGAGCGAAGAGACCCTTTGGGGACGGGAAATCTTTTCTGGAGAGCTCTGGGAAGGTTCCCCTGCAGCGCTGCCGAAGCGCTGGCCAAAACGCTTCCATTTGTGCCTGCACGCGTGCAGGCACGCGTGGAAGCTTGCCGGAAGCTCTCCCGGACCAGTTGCCGGGTCGCCGGAGTCGCTGCGAGGCCTGTGGACCGCCGTGGAGGAGCTCCTGGCAGGCACCACCACCGTCTGGCTTCTAATCTTAAACCCTTTAGCTCTCAGCGAGCTCTCCGGAAAAAAATTAAGAACAAAATTTTCAAACGACCAAAAGTCATCAAAAGGTCCGTCGAGATTTTTCTTGCCAACTAGCTCTCCACCGCCCCGGAACTGGGCGCCGGCGGTAAACCGTCAACCTTGGTTTTTTGCGGACTTTGCGGTCGACTGTGCAGGCTTTCCAGCCTAGTCGGAAGTAAAGACGCGGACGTATAGGGAGCAGGCGAAGCCTCACCGATCCTGACGATCAGGAAGACGACAGCCTAAGCTCTCCGAAATACGCTTGTACAACCCGCGGTATGACAAGAGTCTTATGCTCAACGTCAAATGTGAAGTGATGAATTAAGGAGATCAAATACTATCGAACCTCTTTGAGGCCACAGTACGTCTCAATCAACAGGCACGTCGGAACGATCAAGAAAGTGAAGGAAGCACCCAGCAAAACAAATCAATTGGAGACCACTCAAGGCGATCAAACGTGTCAAATGAAACTGATGAGGCGGAACTAAAATTAAACCCTACAACAGTGAGAACACTGAAGAGGCAAGACTAAGACTGCGACAAGAGAGCCAGGAGACCTGGCCAGGGACTGAACATGCACACACTGAATTGTTAGAGCTCAATGAGAGATAAAGTGAGGAAAAGAAGAACAAATGAGATACAAGCATTACAGCCATGGCTGCACTGAATAAAGATGCACTGAATAACCACACGAGGCAGTCCCAATAACAAACAAAAAGACCACGCGAGGCGATCTCAATCATTAATGCATGCAACAAGTGGCCATCAAGCGAAGCTCTTATTCGACACGCGTGCATGCATGAACACACAAGCATGAAGAAAGCAACGCAATTACAAGTCACAAAAGTTCAAACTCGTCTCACTGAACAAGCACGTGACACAATACAAGCCAGCAACACAGAGAGGCGGCGGCAGGCAGCATATACTCAGGTATAATGTATAGTATTAGCAGGTCTCGTAAACACAGGCCTCGTAGACGCAGCACTCGCCGCAGAACCTGATCGCGCCAGTCCCTGAAGTCTCTGGACGAAGGCCTCAAGTTGATTGTATCTGGCCTCAAATCTCTGTACCTGGGTCTGAGCATTATCGATTTTACTACCCTGCTTCTGTACCTGGGTCTGAACATTATCGATTTTACTACCCTGAACAACTATGGCGTCCTGGATCCTCTCAGTATTGTCATCCATCTTATGCATCGTCTGAAGTAGTAAGCACCGCATGTTATCCTCGTTATCCATCTCCAACTCCGACATCTTCACATCAGCTGCCGTCTGAGCAAGAACAGGAACGTGCGAACCCACGTGCGCAACTTCATGATCAACCTTGGTTACCGCCGGGAGACTCGTAGAGCTTCCTAGATCGATTTAAGTTGAGAAAACCGACAGCACGATGTCTTCAAATCGATTCCTGTGACCACCAGCACTGTAGCCCCCCTCAGCGCGAGTTGAGTGAAGAAAACCGAGAGCACTTCTCAAGATGACTCGACCAATACGAATAGTTTCGCGATTCTAGATCGGGCAGCAGACCGAGTTCGGAGCTCTGGATTCGACAGACAAACGCAACTGATGATTCTGAATCGGTTTCTGTAAAGATCAGCTCTGTAGCTGTCCTACAGCTCGAGTTAAGTACAGAAAACCGAGAGTTCCTGTCAAGAAGACTCGAATAATACGAATAGGTTTACGGACCTAGCTCGACTAGCAGACCGAGTTCAGACCTCTGGATTCAACAAGCGAACGCGCCTAATCATTCTACATCGATTAGCTGTGCTTACCAGCTCTGTAGCTGTCCTAAAGCTCGAATTATGTTCAGAAAACCGTCAGCGCGTATCAAGATGACTCGAAACGGCCGATCCCGCCACAGTGCTTTTCGATAGTAATATTCACCCGATCGAGCTGAGATCAAGATGGCGAGCGGGAATACGATCGAATATCACGGGAAAAAATACTAGAGCTCTAACGAATGTTCAAATTTTGAGAACATAATTTTCAACTGAGCAAAAGTCAGCAAAAGTTCCGTCTAGATTTTTCGAGCCAACTAGCCCGCCAGTGCGTCCGAATTACTCTTAAGCTTCCAGCTGCTAGCTTAGGGAAGCTCTACGAGTCACTTGATAGCGTCCAACTGGAACCGGCGGTAAACCGTCAACCAGATTACCGCCGGGGCCCTCGTCGAGCTCTTTTCTTGCACATGGCTGCTCGGTACACATGCAGGCAGAGACTGGAAGAAAACCCAAAAGACCTCGAAAAAACACGTTTTTCTGCTTTTATCCAAAGACGGTTCCGCCAAGTGTTTTGACAGTAACACTGCACCTACAGACCCGAGAATTCACTGGCTAACGCGGAATGACCCACTGCAGGTGCGAAAAATACCAGATCTCAAAATGAATGTTCAAATCTCTCACGAAGTTCGTCCAACCGACCCAAAGTTCGCACATTGTCCGTCGGGGCCGGATCGGCCAACTAGCTGCACCCCGCGCCCGAATTCCTCTAGCTCATCGATGCCGAAGAGCTCTACGAGGTAAACCCGGAGAGCAAGGGCACACACCGAAACTGGGCGCCGGCGGTAAACCGTCAACCTTTGTTTTTTGCGTCTTTGCTGGGACCGTCTTGGCCACTGAGGCCAGGTCCAACAAAGTATCAGGCGAAACAGAGCCTCTTATTCATCACGCAAGCAGTCAGCTCTTATACCACACAGCGAAGCTGAAGGAATAAAGAGAATCACATGCCGCAATGACACAATCAAACGCAAAGCACACAAAGATAAACGAGTGAGTCAGTGAACAGCGAAGCTGAAGGAATAAACAAGACACAGAAAAGAAGAAACAATGTGTGGCCTATCACTGCGAATGATCAAAGAAGGTCTGCACAACCTGTGGGAGCACCTCGCATATGCGCTCCGCCGCCGATAGTTCCGTATCTGTAACAGTGGCGCTTGGTGGCAGACACCAAGCCGCGAGATACACATCCTTGAAAATGATGTCGGTCCGCGAGAAGATATATTTGTTTCGCAGACCAATCTGCATCCATACACCACAGGCACTTCCGCGGCTATAAACTCCCCCATCAAAGCCGGCTTTGATAAGGCAAGGAATATAACACTGAGATTCAAAGTCGTTGAGGTAAACGAAATCGGCGTACACGTGGCCCTGACGGGCCTGATGGGTCAGTGAGTCAGCTCTCTGGTTCCATTCCCGAAAAGAATGAGAGAAGAAGTCACGGCCAGCCTCTGGAGGCCTCACCGAGTAAGTTTCCTGCATATCGTCCAACTTATTAATCAGAGCATCCACCCTTTTCTGATATACCTGAGCTAATACTTTCCATTTCCCGCAGAGCCAGTTAATTACAAGTAGTGAGTCCCCCTGGATGTCCAGTGGTATCCCGTCCGTATCGAGGTCCCACTGTGTACAACGCATGTTATGCAACGCAATACGTTTGCTGAGACGATCCCTATATGCAGGTGTATCCTCCCGATCCTGACCAATATGAACCCCTCCATCCTCATCCAAGTTCAAGAACACAGGCACCCCTGAGGGCGCCAAATCTTTGCACTTCTTTTGGAAGTACTTCAACATAGTACTTGAACAAACATTAGCAGCGAAATCCATGAAATTTTCAAAACTTCCAGCAAAGAAATCCCACCAGGATAAACCGTAAAACGATTCCAATGAATAGTACCACGGACGAAGTCCGACACTCTCCTGTCCCCCCCGATGTATTTTCATTGAGCTGGCCTCCTTCCAATTCCCCCAACATCTGAGAGCCTCGCTTGAATCTGTCCTCATTCTATCCCACAGTCGGCCAAACGCCAGGCATGAGAAACGAGAATCTCTCCTAGCTCTCATCGAGTTCGCCTCCAACGCCTCCCGATCTGTGATCAACCTATGGGCAAAATCATGGATGTCAATTGCCCACATCCAATGCACTCTGAGAAACTTCTGTACAATACCCGCAAAGTGAGCATCATGACTTTTTTGTCTCGCACGTTCATACCTCCTCGTATTCCATTCCTGATAACTTTCCCCTTCCCTCCGTATACAACGAGACATTACAGACAGGCACTTACCTTCAAAGATATGAAGGGCACTCAATGAACTAGAATCGTCCGTGCATCCTTCCGCCGCGTAGAGCACAATACTCTGAACTCTCTGAGCATACCTCTCATCTTTATCTTTCAACGGGATGGCCGTGGAGCGGAAGAAGGTCGCCTGCCCCCAGAAGGCCCTGCGAGCAGAGTCAATACTAGCGTCCAAATCTGGATGTTCATTCACATGTAGTTCAGAACAAATATGAGCCCCAAGCACATCCATCTCCGTCGTCCTTCTAAATCGATACACTCCAGACTCCTCCGACCCCATCGAGAGAACAAGATCAGCAGTGCATAGTATTTCCCCTTCCACATCTCGCGGAGGCTCGACCCCGAACACCATGTACAATAGGCTGGATTCTTCCCATTTCATGCCATAGTCATGTAACTGTGTAGTTAGACCGTATAACATGCGTGTGAGTTCCTCTCGACTCCGAGCCAATACATAACAGTTGTCCGCCCAAAGGAAGTGATTAATAATCGAAACACAGCTAGTCGAGCCAGTCGCAAACTCAATACGATAACCTAGTCCTAGTACGTCCCATTCTCGAATCGTGGAGCCCCACATAGCAGCAACAATAAGATTGAAAGCCAACGGGCCCTCAGGCCCTCCCGTCCGAATACATTTGTCCCACCTTACCTCCACCACCTCAATCCCATCATAATAGACAGTGCCTACACATTCGCACAAGGGGTTAAGTAGAGCATACTGTAGGTATAGGGGTACACTCGCATGATCCAACCCGCGCCTGACATTGGCCACCGTGCAGTGATCGAACGCCTGGAGGACATCAGCGTTCGCCAAGTGTGCCGTTTCCCCTTTTCCCCATTGTGCAGCATGTTGACCTATGTGTTTGATGCTAGCCGTGATTTCGTGTGTACGACGATGTTCCTGGAAACCATACAACCCAATATGACGAAACACTCCGTTTCTTTCAATATGACCCTCAACCAGGAGAACAATACAGGAACTGAACCATCTCGAAACAGCATTCTGCATACACAGCAAACGTCCGTCTTTTAACTTAGTAATCCCTGGAGTTTTTGGCATAAAAGAGACGAGAATCTCACGCCACGACTGAGGATACGGAATCGTGAGCTTGATGATTTTATCGAACAACTTCTGGATCGCTCTGAGAGCACACCACGGCAAGCTCCTTAGAATCTCGCACGGTATCCCGTCTGGCCCAGTAGCCCTCTGGGTCTTCAGCCGAGCACGTGCTCTGAGAAGCAGCGCCATACTAATTCCCACAACTGATGTGGATCGCACCTCATGTACAGCCCTCATCCTGATCTCCTCCATCATACTGTTGGTGGAATTGCGTATCTCTTCGGACGACACCTTGAAACGAACGAACTTGTCGAGCTCCTCCTTCCACTCCTCACGGTCCTTCGTCTCCCTCCCATCCACCACTAAATGTTTGATAGTATATCTGACCTTACGTTTTGTTGGGGGGCATCTGCACATAATCACATCACGTCGATAACCTCTGCGTAGACGATTAGCCTCATTCTTTAACCTCCTCAACCTCTCCACATCCTCCTTCGGACACATCTTAACCTCCTCCTTGTGAGCTGCACCGGCCTGGACGGCTCTCTCGGTCTTCTCGCACCCGTGGTGGAGTAGTCCACCGTCGGTGATAAGTACGCCTCCAGCATAGTACTCTGCAGACACTGTGGACAGGTCACAGACGGACACCTTGAACGAGCGAAGGCAGCACCGCCTAGATTCGAATCCACATGCTGTCGAGCCTGATGCTCATCAGCCCAAGTCGAACACTTGTATCCGACCAGAGACGGCCTAGACTTCTGACCAGGCTGGGGGTCAGGGCGACGAACAATCACATTCCCAGGGTCAGTGAAACTCGCCGTGATGATTGCGTGATCGGATAATCTACTGAACTGCTTCTTCCCACCCCTCTTGAAACACCACTTCACCTCCAGATCCGAGAACTCCCAACGGTGAGGGACCATTAGATAATCCAGGACCCTCTTCGAAGTCAGAAACTTGTTCTCCCCCCACGACTCCCAGGTATGCCTCCTAGTACCGAAAGTGTTGGCGGCCTTCAGTCCATGTGATTCCATGAACTCTAAGAGCAGCTCCTTCAGCCTCCTCCTCCGACTCCTCCTCTCAATATGCTGTGTACCGTCTCCTCCTCTCTCCCACCTTCTGTCCGTACGAGTACCCTCCTCTCCAGTAGCCTCATACTCCTCCCCATTATACGTAAACCTGCATCCAGGCGGAATCTCCACATTTGCATCGAGCAGAACACAAAAGCTGGCCTGAGGAAACTTCGTGCGGAGAACATTACGAGCACGACCGATCTGCCCATAGACCTCCGCAGCTATCTCTACACAATCCTCCACATGAGGGTCTGGCAAATACGCTGACACAATAATGAGTGGTGACTTCTCTGACCCAAAGACACCGATAACGAACCTCGTGAAACAAGTGAAGAACATACGGACGGCAGCCGCCCAAGATCTGTCGAAGATGAGAGCTGCCTTGCTACACGAACTAGTTTTGATGTGCCACCCCAGGCGTTCAAATTCCCCATGCACAAGGTATTGAGTTTCCTAACATGCAAAGAGCCCACCACATGCCCTCATATGATGGAGAATCTCAGCACATTTAAAATGAGCCTCCCCTGCTTTGTTCAGGTTCCAGCTCGCCAAACGTATGCCTCGGACGAGGCGCCGCAAACGTCACTGCCTACGATTCACTTCCTGAAGTACATCATTCATGGGGACCGTCAGCGCAGGATAAATAGAAACAATACGAGCCCATGCATCAGCATGAAGAACCCAGGCCCCTGTGGTATTCGTATACGTCGCAAAACAGACGGGTCGGAAATTCGGAACAGCTTGAGTCCAAATCTGACTCCTCGGTGGCCCCACCTCCCCACGGATCTCGATTTGAACATGAGCCGAGGTCATACTTCGCCAAGTCCCACAGAAACGAGCAACCGCTTTCACATGGTCACGCTTCCAGGGTGCACACTCCACTAACGTACGAATCTTTCTGGGATCGATTGGCGTGTCCATATCATGAGTGAGAACATCGGCATTTGGATACGTATAACCTGGGGGCGGGGCAATACGATCGGCTGGTTCCTTACAGACCATATCCATCCATTTCTTTATCATCCATAGAGTGTCCCGTGGTGTCCCTTCTTTGAAACCGACCTTCACACTTCCGTACATATATCTTCCTCCGTTTAATCGTTCAGTTTTATATTTGTCGTAAGCATTCCTTTCCTCCCCCTGAAGTGTTCCAATCATATTCGATATTAGCTGTGACGCATCCGCCCAGGGTATCATTTGATTTCCCCGATTTACTTGATTCGACCAATCCGTAACCCACCCTTTTAGTTCGAGATAAGTTGGTGTGAACTGGCTCGATCGCCCTTGTTGCACGTGAGGGATCGAACCTACACCTCCACCAGAAGAGCCACCAGGGCCCACACTCGTCGAAACCGAAGCTGCAGGAGATCCAGCCAAAATTTGCTTAACCTGTTTCTCCAAAATATCTGTCCGTGCATCTGATTTGTCCATTCGCTCCGTATGCAACTTGAGTGTGTCATCAACTCTTTTGATGTCAGTCTTCGTCGATTGAACAACATGGATGAGATCCTCATGGGCATCCTCCGTTTTCCAAACATGCTTCATCATCATCTGTTTGAATGGATCCTTCTCCTTCGCTAACATCACTTTCCTCTCCTCCTCAATCTCTGGGCCACGTGCACGTTTGGATCGAATCTCACCATCCCCCGTCATCGCGGCATCCGCCGCTGCAGCAACATGAGTCATATTCTCAAGAATATTACCGTTCAATCCGTACTTATCTAACCAACTCCTATCGTCCTCACGTTGACGTTTGTTTGATGCTGCCTCCAGTGCCTGCAGATCTTTCTGATCCCACGGCTGGTATTCCTCAAGGTAATCGAAGTTGACTCTCTCGTCCTGGTAATCTTCTGTGGGTATGTCAAAATTCCTTTGACGTCGAAACCACTCCTCAGTGCTTTCACCCCAATGCTCGAGTCCTATCTCCCTCCTCAATGCCAGCTGAGCCTCAGGACTGTCGTACGAGGTTATGTCAACAACGATCCACACAGACAAGGGACTTCCACTCGTTCAATAAGAGATAATGAATGCAGACAGACAATAGACAGCAGTGCAGCACACCAGAAAGTATCTCAATACCACGAAGAAGAATTCAGCATACAATACAAGAGATGTAGAGTAAGCAGACAAAAACCTCGAGGGAACCCAGGCAGGCCAGGCTCACACCCCGAGGCAAGGCTCGCTAGAACGTCTGGAGGTTACCCAGGCAGAGACGTTCTTGAGCCGAGACTTTCTTGAGCCGGGGGACTCGTAGAGCTTCCTGAGAACATATAATGTCGAAAAAAATTACACAGAAAAATAGTTTCTCAGCCCAGGCAATTTGAGACCTCTCGAATGGAACAGCCGAACGCCTCTGATGCTTCTGGATTGTCTTCTGTACGAGCTCTGTAGCTCTCCTACAGCCTGAGTTACGTGCGTAAATCGACAGCACCTCTCAAGATGATTCGAACAATTCGAATAGATTGGCAAACCTAGCTCGAGTATAAGTCCGAGTTCAGACCTCTGCATACGACAGGCGCACGCGTCTGATGTCTCTGAATCGATTCCTGTGATTGTCAGCCCAACAGCCCTCCTACAGCTCGAGTCAAGTGCAGGAAACCGACAGCACCTCTCAAGATGACTCGAACAGTACGAATAGTTTGGCAAACCTAGTTCGGGCAGCAGACAGAGTTCGGAGCTCTGAATTCGAAAGGCACACGCGCCTGATGTCTCCGAACCGATTCCACTGATTACCAGCCATGCAGCCCGCCGACAGCCCGAGTTAAGTGCAGAGAACGGACAGCATCTCTCAAGATGACTCGAACAATACGAACAGTTTCGCGAGTCTAGATCGGGCAGCAGACCGAGTTCAGAGCTCTGGATTCAACAGACAACAGCCACTGATGATTCTGAATCAGATTCTGTACGCATCAGCTCTATAGCTGTCCTGTAGCTCGAGTTAAGTACAGAAAACCGAGAGCGTCTGTCAAGATGACTCGAATAATACGAATAGGTTTGCGGACCTAGCTCGGCTAGCAGACCAAGTTCAGACCTCTGGGTTCAACAGGCGAACGCGCCTGATCATTCTGAATCGATTAGCTGCGCTTACCAGCTCTGTAGCTGCCCTAAAGCTCGAGTTATCTTGAGAAAACCGTCACTGCATGACAAGATGACCCGAAACGGGCGATCCCGCCGCAGTGCTTTTTGGCAGTAAAAGGTACCCGATCGAGCTGAGACCAAGACGGCGAGCGGGAATAAGATCGAATATCACGGGAAAAAATACTAGAGCTCTAACGAATGGTTGAATTTTGAGAACAAAATTTTCAACCGACCAGAAGTCCCCAAAATGTCCGTCGAGATTTTTCTACCCAACTGGGCGCCGGCGGTGAACCGTCAACCAAGGTTTTTTTTTTGGGGGGGAGGCTGACCAGGCACCGAGCGCCCCAGCGCCCGTTAAGTGCCTACCTAGTCTCTCTGCAGCTGGAGGTCTTGGGCCACCTGGGCTGCGGCCCGCAAGAGGCCCTCGAGGCCCGAAAGCTCAGCGTCAGTGATACTGCTATGGGAGGGGAGTGCCTGTGCACAACGCCCTACTACTTCCCATATAATTGGAC